TCATTTGGGACCCACCGGTGCCTTGAGAGTACCACTGTCGCAGTTCACACCCGAAAGTTTCGCAGGCGTCATGTCAGCCCAAGAACAAATGAGGTCATCAGGTAAGGAATTTGAGGTTTTGAAAACCACCATGGAAGAACTCTGCAATGAACCTGGCTCAAATCCTTTAGAGCCGGACTGCCCCAAACCTGATAGGCCTGCTGAACCTGTTCCACCTTGCCATGGAGAGCCGGGGACAGGCCAAACGGGCTCGACAGAGCCACAACGAGGGTCACGAGCCGATGAACTCATGGCGCCGCATGGTCATGAAGTTAGTGATGATCCTGATCCATGTGACAACGTTGGCCATCAATCTGCTGATGCCCAAGCAGAAGAAGGCCCCGTTCTCAGTATGGCCTCTTCCAAAGATTCCGGAAGGGACACTGTCAGATGTGGAAAGTGTGGGGAGCTTCCAGATGATCAGCGACTCGGAAGATCGACAATCCCAGGTCTTCTCTCCGGTGAGTCAACCACCGGCACCATCTTCACCGGCGCCAAGCCAGTTTTCGGAGGGCAAGGACTACATCACGGACGAGGACCTGATGATGATGGGCCCACCACCAGTATGCCATCATGGAGTTCAAACCAGGATGTTTGTGACCCGCAAGCAGGGCCCCAATCTGGGAAGAACCTTCTGGAGGTGCCCGAAGGAGCGCCACGAGCAATGTCCCTACTTTGCATGGACCCTGTTCCAGCCGCTCTGGTTGCAGGAGGAGATCAATGCCTCCCCAGCGGGAGTCTGGAAGCCACCAACGGCGGCGAAGAGCACCTCGGCACCAAGGACCCCCGGGAGTATGTCAACGGGAAGTTTCACGTCGAGGGCACCTACATGCACTCATGCTCGGACCCGGAAGAGTGGATCCAACGGACACCAGCGTCGGGTGACATGCTGCGATTGCGGGACGATCCTGGAGTACGAGAACCTGGAGAAGTCAGAGAGCAGCGAGTCCGAGACGAAGCAAAAGAAGAAGACCGGCAAGAAGATGACGACCAAGGAGCTGGAGGAGTTCGAGGAATTCCAGGAGTTCAGACGTTGGCAGAAGGACCGGAGTTCGGGGTCCGATCAGGGGAAACGTTAGGTTTGACCGAACAAGAGATTCGGCACCTGTCCAAGCCTGTTAGTCCAAGGAAGACTAAGCAATTGAATAGGGTAGTGAATCAGGCAAAAACTGCCCTTAGGACTGCTGAAGGAGTTTGGGAAGAACTTATGAGCTTGGTCTGTACAGCACCCAATGAATG